CTGACCTATTTAAGAGTGTTGAGGCGATCGCCGTGGATTTTCCTCCACCCATTCATTCTGTGGAAAAACAGCACGATTCTCACACGAGTCTCACAGCACGATTAGATCAGTACAAAAATCACCTTCATGGCAGGTCACTGCAATTATTCATTAATTATTCATGGTGGTGAGATGATCTGGTAATACATTTACAGCTCACATTTTAATCTCATCTGCACACCAAAGCAATGAATATGCAAATCAGCAGCGGGTGAATTGGAGGTTTGCTGTCTTGCAGCTATCTTTACTGTCTTTCTGATTTGTTTAGACAATAACACACAACTCTTGCTTCAATGATAATGAACAAAATTAATTTGAGCCGCATAATATGATTAAGAGGTTTTGAGATCCTATGATAAAACCTCCAGCTCACGCCTTGTGCAGGAAGTTGGTAATCTGTAGAAGACATGCAATCACATGTTTTGTGTATGTGTTAATTTGAGGTTAGAAAGGTGTCACTTTGTACTGTATGCATATTTGCTGTCATGCCTGCAGCTTTAAAAGAAGCTAATTAGGTGTTTATATGGTAATGAGCTGACTCAGTACTGGCCTTGAAAACGGTCATTTTGACACTTTTTACTAAAAAATATGTTGATGTCTAACACTCCTGCATAATTATGCAAAGGTAAGAGATAAATATGGCGAAAAATTGTATGTTATTATTTACACTGATGGCCAAAAGTTGGGAATAATTTAAGTGTTCTTAATGTTTTGAAAGAAGTCTCTAATGCTCACCAAGGCTGCATTTATTTGATCAAAAATGATGTAAAAATCAGTAATATTGTGAAATATTATTACAATTTAAATTTCTATTTTAATATATTTTAAAATGTGATTTATTTCTGTGATGGCAAAGCTGAATTTTCAGCAGATGTTACTCCAGTCTTCAGTGTCACATGATGTACTTCAGAAATCCTTCTAATATGCTGATTTGCTGCTCATAATATTTTATGGAAACCACTAAATATTTTTAGTGGATACACTAAGTTTGGGGTAAGTATGATAAAAAAACAAAAAAGACTAATAATGATACTTTAATTTAGAAAGGATGCATGAAATCGTTCATATTCATTGAAGAATCTGGAATTTCACACGGTTTTTAACATTGATAATAATAAGAACCAAATCAGCATATTAGAATGATTTCGGACAATGAAGACTGGAGCAATCACAGGAATAAATTACATTCTAAAATATATTGGAAAAGAAAATAGTTATTTAAAAATCATAATGAATCAAAATCATAAAATCTTTTTCTTTTTTTTTAACAAGCTCCATATTTCATATCTGAACTTATTCAGGATTTGGCAGAAGCTGAACCGTCTTATCTCTCCAATCTCTCACAAGTGCATCAATGCACTGCTGGCTCAGCAGTTTTTCCTAACCTGTAAACCTCTGAACTCCTTCACAGTCTTCTCTATCTTCCTTTTGATTTCCAATTTATTTTTAAGGTGGAATGTATCATTACAGGAATATTAAGGTCATTCCCAAGAATCCCAACTTAATATCTGCATGCAGTATTTGTCGTATGTGGCATTATGTCGATTATCACAAAACTGCGAAGGGACATGGAAAGGATGTGACATAACTCTCCATAAAGCACTCCGTGTTTGATGGTGCTTTGCTTTATGGCTGACAAGGCTGATGAGGCCCTAACCTCACCAACCCATAATCCTAACCTTATTGAGCCTATAAGGCTGATCAGTCCTTCAGGAACAAAGCAGGGCACCTTGTGGATATCCACCTACAGGAATTATGTTTGTAACACATAACCAGTCTCTCCACCTAAGACGCAACATAAAAAAGCACCAAAGCACCACTGCTTTTCCATTGTTTTCTGTGTAAACTTGAGCTCGACGGACATGTTTGACCATTCCACTTGCTTGTGTCTTTTGTAGCAATGACACTGCATTATATACAGTAAATGCAGCAAAAGTTCAAAGTTAACCATCTTTCACGCTAGATGTTGCTTTTTTTCCCATTCCACTTTTCTGTGTCTTTTCCATGCAAATGTCTCCTAAAACCATTATAAAAGTAGTCTATATGAATAATGTGCTATATTTATTGTTATACAGTATTTATCATAAACCATATGATGGCTTTGTGTAGAAAAACAGGTTGAAATTTAAGATTTTATTCACAGAAATAAGACAGAATTGCAATTTTTGGACAAATTAATTGTTTAAGTTGAAAATAACCCGAAATATTCTTTTAATCTAGTCATGTCCATGTAATTTACTATTATTAGTATTACAGTATTTATACATATTTTGAATCAGTTTTTTTTTCTGTCCTAGTTTTTCTATATCTAGCTTTTCATTTCAATGATTATATACAGTAAATGCAGCAAAAGTTCAAAGTTAACCATCTTTCACGCTAGATGTTGCTTTTTTTCCCATTCCACTTTTCTGTGTCTTTTCCATGCAAATGTCTCCTAAAACCATTATAAAAGTAGTCTATATGAATAATGTGCTATATTTATTGTTATACAGTATTTATCATAAACCATATGATGGCTTTGTGTAGAAAAACAGGTTGAAATTTAAGATTTTATTCACAGAAATAAGACAGAATTGCAATTTTTGGACAAATTAATTGTTTGTTGAAAATAACCCGAAATATTCTTTTAATCTAGTCATGTCCATGTAATTTACTATTATTAGTATTACAGTATTTATACATATTTTGAAGTTTTTCTATATCTAGCTTTTCATTTCAATATGCTTTTGTTATTAATTTTTTTCATTGTTTTGTTTCATTTTTTTAATAAATATATATTTCTATAAAACTTTATTTTTAATTTCACTTTTAGGTATAGTAGTTTTAGTACTTACCCTTAAAGGGTTATTTCACCCAAGAATGAAAATTAGCCTATGAATTACTCACCTTCAAGGCATCCTAGGTGTATATGACTTTCTTCTTTCAGACGAATCCAGTCGGAGTTATATTAAAAATTGTCTTTGATTTTCCAAGCTGTTTAATGGCAGTCAGCGGGTGTTGCAGTTCATCAGTCCAAAAGAAGTGAAATATTAACCATATTTAAAACGTAATAATCAATTTAATGTAGCTTGCGCTCACTGTTGTACACGGAAGCAGCTCCGGGCGGAAGACGTATGAGGTCAGCGCTGCGCATGCGCCACTCAGAAGTGACGCACGCGGAAGTGCAGCGGAGAGATCAAAACAAAACACCGGTCACAAATTAGAAATAGAAAACAAGAATTTGTAAAGAAGAATGTCAGAGGATTTAGAAAAAACCGCCAAGAGGAGACTGGTTTTCCTTTGCTAAAGTAAGGAAACTTTGCTTCCTTTGCTCCTGTAAACAAACGTTGGTTTTCGCGAGACTCAAAATGCAGCAAAAGTTCAAAGTTAACCATCTTTCACGCTAGATGTTGCTTTTTTTCCCATTCCACTTTTCTGTGTCTTTTCCATGCAAATGTCTCCTAAAACCATTATAAAAGTAGTCTATATGAATAATGTGCTATATTTATTGTTATACAGTATTTATCATAAACCATATGATGGCTTTGTGTAGAAAAACAGGTTGAAATTTAAGATTTTATTCACAGAAATAAGACAGAATTGCAATTTTTGGACAAATTAATTGTTTGTTGAAAATAACCCGAAATATTCTTTTAATCTAGTCATGTCCATGTAATTTACTATTATTAGTATTACAGTATTTATACATATTTTGAAGTTTTTCTATATCTAGCTTTTCATTTCAATATGCTTTTGTTATTAATTTTTTTCATTGTTTTGTTTCATTTTTTTAATAAATATATATTTCTATAAAACTTTATTTTTAATTTCACTTTTAGGTATAGTAGTTTTAGTACTTACCCTTAAAGGGTTATTTCACCCAAGAATGAAAATTAGCCTATGAATTACTCACCTTCAAGGCATCCTAGGTGTATATGACTTTCTTCTTTCAGACGAATCCAGTCGGAGTTATATTAAAAATTGTCTTTGATTTTCCAAGCTGTTTAATGGCAGTCAGCGGGTGTTGCAGTTCATCAGTCCAAAAGAAGTGAAATATTAACCATATTTAAAACGTAATAATCAATTTAATGTAGCTTGCGCTCACTGTTGTACACGGAAGCAGCTCCGGGCGGAAGACGTATGAGGTCAGCGCTGCGCATGCGCCGCTCAGAAGTGACGCACGCGGAAGTGCAGCGGAGAGATCAAAACAAAACACCGGTCACAAATTAGAAATAGAAAACAAGAATTTGTAAAGAAGAATGTCAGAGGATTTAGAAAAAACCGCCAAGAGGAGACTGGTTTTCCTTTGCTAAAGTAAGGAAACTTTGCTTCCTTTGCTCCTGTAAACAAACGTTGGTTTTCGCGAGACTCACCGGCGCATGCGCAACGCTGAACTCATACGTCATCCGCCCGGAGCTGCTTCCGTGTACAACTGTTGGCGCAAGCTAGATTAAAGTGATTACTACGTTTTGAATATGGATATTTTTCTTACAAAAATGCATCGATTCGCTACAGGAGGCCTTTGTTCACCCCCCGGACCCGTGTGAGACACTTTTTTATTATGGATGCAAGCGCTTCATTTAACTTCTTTTGGACTGATGAAATGCAACCCTTGCTGTGTAAATGACTGCAATTAAACAGCTTGAAAGATCAAAGTCCATTTTTAATATAACTCCGATTAGATTCATCTGAAAGAAGGAAGTCATATACACCTAGGATGGCTTGAGGTTGAGTAAATAATGGGCTAATTTTCATTTTTGGGTGAACTATCCCTTTAAACTTGAATTTAAAATGTATTTGCCAAGGCAACACTTTGCATTTTCATTTAAGTTTTATAATATTTAGATTTAGATTTTAATTTCAGCTTTTATTTCATTTACCGAAAATTACTTTTAATAGTTGTAGTTTACAATATTTCTTAGAGATGATTTCCTATTCAATCTTTACCACATTTATTTCTCTCTTCTTGATGACCTCTGCAGCAACAAGAACAGGACCCCACCAATCTGTACATTTCCAATCTGCCTCTGTCTCTGGACGAGCAGGAGTTAGAAAGCATGCTCAAGCCCTTCAGCCAGGTCATCTCCACACGCATCTTACGTGACGCAAACGGCACCAGTCGTGGAGTTGGTTTTGCCAGGTGCGCCTGACCAGCTCTCATACGTGTCACATGACATTATCATCATTAATATTCTGTTAATAATGCATTTGCAATTACTCTATGTTAGGATGGAATCGACTGAAAAATGTGAGGCCATCATTCAACATTTCAATGGCAAATACATCAAGACTCCTCCTGGAGTAGCAGGTACTACATTTGGGTTATTTTTCATATCGAGTTTTGTACTGATGAGATGGTCATGACAGGTAAATAATGAGTGATATGTTTTCATTAAGTGCCTACAGAACCCTTGCTGTGTAAATTTGCGGATGGGGGGCAGAAGAAACGTCAGAATCAGGGGAAATATCACCAGAATGGGCGGCAGTGGCCGAGAGAGGGCGAGACTGTGAGAAAACTGTTTTTTTTCACATTGATTTCAATCATTCTCTAGTCCACGTCTGAATTCAACTGTCTCTCTCTCATTCTCACACACATACAGGGCGGGATGACGCTAACATATGACCCTACTCCCGCTTTACAAAATGGGTGGGTTCAGAAATTATTACTTACAATAAACGTTGTAATTTGTGTTTTTAATTATGGCACTGCATGGTAACCGTTCTTTCTTTAGAAAAATGCATTTGTCGCCCCCTGCAGGTTTTACTCTCCCTCCTACAGCATTGCTCCTAACAGAATTATTGCTCAGACTTCTATCTCTCCCTACATGCACTCACCTGTATCCACCTACCAGGTATGGAGAAGCCATTTGTTTTGCAAGAGCCATATTACTGTTCATGACTCATGCTCTATATTTCAAGTCTTTTGAAGATCTACAATCATTATATATGAGGAATTTGAGTTGGTTACAGAAAAGTCTTCACATACTCCCTAGCTTATTAGGTCTAAATTGTTATAGATCTGAATTATACAGAATAATGACCAAAATCTAAGATTAAAATGTGTCTCCTTTTAATATCAGGTACACAATCCCTCCTGGATACATCACCAGTCTTACCTCATGCAGCCCACAGTAAGTTGCAGTTAAACCGCTGCTCTATTTCCTAAAGCACCTCTGCCTGTCTAACTTTCTTTCTCTGCTGGGCACAGGGTACAGTCCTCACGCCCACAGTGGACCACACCATGACCATGCAGCCCACTGCCATAATAGGGCCTCTCACACAGCAGCTCAGCCATCTAACCCTGGGCAGCACAGGCACGGTACGTCCCCCACAGATGCCCACAGAGAATTCATTACAAACGTCTTGACGTTTTTTTATGACTGGCAGTAAAGAAGTTAATATTTTTATTTTCTATTTGTCTTTTCAATTAAGTTTTGGTTTTCATTGTTAATTTTTGTTTAGTTTTAGTTTTCAGAGTTTTTGTAGTTTCACATTATTTCATTTTTATTTTAGTTTCAGTATTTCAGGGCTACCAGAGTTAATATGCTAACTATTATCATTTAAAATATTTAACTGCTTTAAATTTCTCATGACAGGTTTTATAATATTACCATGTATCAAAAACTTGTGGGCAAGTGTATTTTATTTTAGGTGGTCTTGGTGTCATGAAAATGTATTTTAGTTTAGTTTCAGTTATTAATATTTGTGTTCGTTTTAGGGCTGCACGATATAACAATATAAAATCGATATTCCAAAATATGCAGCGCATTAAACTGCTGTTTTTCATTAGAAAACCACTGAGTGAGTCCGTGATTGTCAATTCCAGATATTTTACTAGTCCTAGAGTAAAAAGACAGTGTGAAACTTATATTACTGTAACATTTATGACTTCAGATGATTTGAGATCAAGCACACTCCATGCCAGTTAACACAAATGATAATTTGAAGTCATCTCAAGACAGGCCTTATATTAACAGCTATTGCAAAATAATGGCAGCACAAGAAAAGATTCCACGTTATCAAAAAGCCACCAAATACTGATCAAAATAAACATATCCCTGTGATGGCAGAGCTCCATCCCAAAACATACTGAAGTCAAAAGCATTGCAGCACAAGAGCTTTTCATCAACTCTAGGGAAAAAAAGAACCACAAAACTCACTTTAATCTGAAAAAAAAAAAATAGTCTCTCTCCAAAAAGAAGACTCTGAGTCTTATTTAAAATAAAATTAATTTCATGGTTAATTACCTTGACAGTGTCTGTATAAAAAACATACAGGTATCAAATGTCTCAAATATTAAGTAAACTGCTGTTTTCGTTGTTTCCTCCCATTGAATCAAAGTAAGTGATGCTCTTCTTACGAAAATCCACCACCTTTCGAAAGGCAAAAAAGAAGAAATGAGATATGCCAATCCTGACTTGACAGCAAACCTATTTGAATTATTCATTCATTAAACTGATTGAAATGTATCATAATACTATTCTGAAGTACTTGTGAATGTCAGGAAAGAAAGCATCAGCCCACATGCAATGCATCTTCCATGCACATGTCCTCAATGTGACCTTGGTGCTGGTTAGCTACTTACAGACAGGCACCAGTGCACCCCCAGGTGGACAGGCACCAGAATGATGTCTACAGAAAAGATGTCCACTTTCTTGGTCCAGCGGCGGACAGCAGAGTAACCGGAGCGCCGCAGCTTGGGAAAGAAGAAGGTGTTGAAGGTGTAAGCGGAGGGCAGGTTTGGCTGTTTACTGCGCTCCACCAGCAGGTTCATGTAGAAATTAATAACCTGAAATGGAGGAAATATATCAGTCAGGCACTCAAATCATTGACAAACTGATAATTATGGCAACACCTCACACAAAATGATTAAAAGGGACTCTTTTCAGAATCCATTTACTGACACGCTTGTTCAGAAACCTGAAAGACGTAATAAAGCTCTGACCTCATCGTTGAGCCAGTTGAGGTGGTTGAGCGTCTGCAGGTCTTTTCTGGTGATGGTGAGGCGGAAGCCCTCGCTGAGAACCTCATCCTGAATGCCGCCTCTCAGAGCTCTGCTCACCTCTTTCACCATATCCTGTGAGCACCACAAGCAGGAAACAGACCATTCAAGTACAAAATAAAACACATACTGATAAAAAAACACTTTGTTTACTTGCAAATGTGACCAATAACCAACATCAAAGAACTGTGAACATGAATTGTTCAAATGTATTGTTAAATTATTTAAATAATAATGAAAAATTTCAGCGGGTACTTAAAGTGAATACTTTAAGTTAGATAAAAGTTAGAAAAAGCTTGGAATTCTACTGTAATGCATGTTCAGTCTGATAAAATTGACATTACAGCATTGAACTATAATGATTATACATTCAGTTAATAAAGTGAAATACTTCAGGGATCAAACAACTGTTTAAAAAAGTAAAATGTTATGATGTATAATGAAAAAATTTAAATTCTTTGAAATATTTCAATGAAACTAATCAAACATCACTGTACAAAAGACTACGTCAATGCTCTAACAAAAAAAATTAAATAATAAATATATATATATATTTGGTATAAACCATGCTGGATAACATCTGGATCTTCAGGTATTGCAGAAAGACAAATGCATACCTTGACAAAGGCTACTAGCCGAAACGTTGGATAATAAATAGCCTATGCTTAAGTGAGTATGCAGTTGTTCTTTCAATTAGAAAGACAAATGCAACCTTTTCACTAATGGTTTCAGACTTTTAGACAAGTAATTTCAACAAAAACGAATGAGCTTGAAGTAGGGATGTTCATTTTAACCGCTTAACCGACCGTAAGCATTTTGACCGATTAATACAATCAGTTAAACGGTTTAAAAAGTCATTTAATTATAAATACATTTTTTCAGTAATTTATTAAAATATTTTAAAAGGTTTGCTGCATGGATAATATACTCTACACGGGGAAAAAAACAAGTCGCGTATAAGTGGCATTTTTTTATTTCAGAAATAGACCTAATGCCAACGCGAAATGTTTACAAACATAATAATAAACACTGTAAACATAGCTAGGCTATTTTAGTTCCCCTCACTCCACAACAAATCCTTTCAATTAACAGTATTTAGAAAAGAACAAGAATTAAAAGTATAATAGCTTTAGCAATATAAACGACAAGCCAAAACAAATTAATTTAGGCTAAAACTAAACTGAAACCAACGTTGGGTCTCTCATTCCACACAAAATCAAATGTTTCTGTATTCGCAATGTATTTGAATGGCAAATTATTATTTATTATGTAGGCTACTTCACTCGCATTCCAATATCCAATATCCATGTAAAACAAAATGTTTTGCATAACATCACAGCGGTGCGGTGATAACACTTAACGGTACAGATTGTACTACATATTTTTTTACTAAATAGTTTTTTTTCCATATGTTTGACTGACTATTTTATTATGATAATGAACAGGCTGCATTGTCAAGGTAGCAATGCTTAACTGTGTGTGCGCATGCGGCGCCGGCGCAATCACTTGAGTTTTTTCCTTCTAACAGTGGAAGCAACTACTCCTTTTAGTCCTAAAGATAATCGGAATTGTAAAAGGTTTGCCTTTATTTGTGTACATTCACAATAAAAACAAATCTTTGTGCTTTTGTAAAATAGGCCTAAAGAAAAATAGGATGCCGCTTTCTGCTGTCTGTTTCCTTTTGCGCAGCACAAAAATGAACCGAACCTCTGCATACTAGGCTACTTGTTGCACAAGTAGTTTTTCTTTC